GAGTGCGCGAAATGCAGGCGAGAGTGCGATTTGCCGGGTGCCCGTGCAACCCTCCTTAAAGGATCTGTTTTTTACTAATAGGTTAACAAGATTAAGCCTTTTAGTTATTTACTAGTAACTGTTTATAACTGTGTGCTAACCATGTAGTAACCATGTATAACCTCTTATAATGTTGCTAACTAGTTAATTATATTGGTGACAGTTGCTAAAGTTAAGATAACTTTAGCTAACTAAGTTAATTATGTTAAAAAGTTAGCACACTTAGTAACTAGTTAACAAAAAATCAACATAAAATATCAATTAAAAAATGTTGCTTTTCAGTGTTTACAAATGCTGTGGTTGTTGAAGTTTTTTGGTCCTGGTTGCATATTGCTTTCATGTGCCAGCAAGCTTTCTCGCAACACTGTTGCAGATGAAAAAAAGCCTGTTGGCTTAGGAAAAAAGCCTGTTGGCTTTAATGTTTGTGCCTTAGCCAGAGATGTGTTTTTGAAAGACCTTGCTTTGGCTTATGGATTCAGCTCAAAACACTGCTATACCGCCCTTGCCTGAGCACTTTGCACCAATGGCTGACAGATATTTTGTGGTGTCTGATGGCAACTTGTATGAGCTTGATCCTACAGAAGACTCGCAAGCCATCTTGAGTGTGCACCTGGAGCCCACACTCTATGCCATTGAGTGTGGAAAGGCTCAACCACTGAGTTCCACATGAAGTTGGAACACAAGAAGCTGGAGCACAAGCAGAAGTTGTTGCTTTTGCTTTACACCCAGCAGCTGTGTTTTCTCTGAAGAAGGTCACTAAGAAGGGTGCTTTGAAGCTTTTGCCTTGGGGCATTGTCAGCAAGCAAAGAAGAAGCCAGAGCACAACACATATATTGAATACTGTGGCCTTTTCTGGAACATAGCCCCTTTCAAAGCATGCAGCAACTTCGCCCAGGCAGAAGGAGTGCTGAGCCCATTTTGGTGGTGCAAGGGCACTACAGAGTCAGAGTTTGCCAACATGGAGTTTGTGCATTTGAAAAAGAATGGCATCAAGATCCCTTATTTGCAGAATTGCAAGCCCTTGGCCAAGCATGAGCAATTGATGTTCTTGGACATGAAGGCACTTGAAGTTGCAGAAGCCAATAAGAAGAGAAAACTTGGACATCATTGACTAAGCAACACTGCGATATGAAAAAATTGCACAAGGAGTGGCTTCTGTGTTTGTGGTCTGTTGCAACAGCCTGTTGGCTTGCAGTCTCACTCTTCTTGGAGCCTGTCGGCTGTGTCTACCTCCCACCACCTTAGGTTATAAAATTGGCTTGTTGGCTTTCATTTGTCATCTTGCAGCCTGTTGGCTAACCACTGGTTGTTGAAGCACTGCCTGTTTGTTTGGGTTGTGTTGGATTTCCCAATCACCACATGCTTGCTAAAGCCTGTTGGCTCACAAGCCTGTGGGCTCACAAGCCTGCTGGCTGCAAGCCTGTTGGCTGCAAGCCTGTTGGCTGCAAGCCTGTTG